ATAATGAAAAAATTCAAATACAAGAAAGAATATTAAAATGAATCCCACATACACGTCACCCAGATTAAACAATGATCAAGATTTTGCCATATTTGCCCCCTCTCTCCCTTTTTCCTTTCTTTCCTTTCATTCCTTTACCAGTATCTTACCCCTGCTGGTTCTTGTGTCTTCCTGACCTGACCCATTAGTTCTTGATAGCTTCCTTGCTTTCCAGTACAGCAAGATGTCCCAGACTCCTCTTAATTTCCTGCCACAGGCCTGAAATCAGCCTGTCTTTCAAGGTGCTCTGTTTCCTTTCAGCGGGTGAAAAATTATTTGAAGAAATAAAGGTATAAGCTAACAACAAGAACAACAGCAAGATGCCCCTAAAATAAAAAGAAGGGCACCTGTATATAAACTCCATGAAATATGTGTAAAAGCTCTATAAGGAAAATTATAAAGTTTTATAAGACATACACAAAAGGTTTGAAAAAGTCAAGGCACATGTCACCCTAAACACGTATTCACGTTGTTTACAAATATTTTATTCTATATAAGCTTTTAGTTTAACTCAAATAGGATTTCATTATAATGGGAAAAGGATTAAGACATGCATATGAAAAAAGAGAACGCATAGGTTGATTCTGAAAAGTACAAAAGGCAACTTACACCATTTGACAAAAAGTACTTACATTATGGTAGTCTTTAAAACCAGGAGGAAGAAAAACGTCAAAAAGATACCACCAAACATGAAATGATGCCTCACCTCACTATTAAAAAGATGGAAATTCAATCAGGCTAATAACTTGAATAGCAGTGAGTCACCTTCACTTGCTCAGGTAGTAGATAAGAACCATGTTTGACCACAGGACAGGGTTTTTAAAACAGGCAAGTATAAGCAAATACTATTCAGCATCAGGGAAACTGAGAACAAATAATCCTAACATTAATGTGTCAGTTCTGATGCATTGTTTTCAGGATCATTCTCTTCTGACTACTATTGATGGACAGTGAGTGGACATACGATTCACACTGGGCCAGATCCATTTCTTTGGAAATTTAAACTTGGGTTAAGGAAGGTGGTCTCTCTCAAAACAAGCTGAGGCTGAAATCTACAAAACTGAGCAGCTGTAGGGGCCCCTGGGTTCAAATGCTCTTGAGCAAGACCCCACATGATAGCCTTCTGCTTTCTGAGTGGTTGATGCCAGTAGGAGTGCTATGCAAGCAGAGTTGACCTGAGATATCTTATTTGCATTCATTTGCCTCTTGCTTTTATTCCAATCAGAAATTGTTTATTCAATACCTCATTTGAATACACCGTATATAAATAAGCTCTGTGTCTTCACAGCCTGCCATCCTTCTTTTCTCAAGGTAGATAATGGCTGTGTCTCCTATCTCCCAGTCTTTCTCTAAGTTTACTGTCATGTCCAAGAAAGGCTCCAAGAAGCTATCCTCAAGATGAAAAGAAAGGCAAGAAGCACCAGAGATGTCACAGACAGTGCTGCGGTTTGCCCCAACCCTGGCATCTCTATGGAAGCCATGTGAATACTGAACTCGTTTGTGACCTTTGAGTACATCACTGGTGAGTCAACCTACTTGGCTCATTACAACAGACTCTTTACTCTCCTCTACAGCAGCGGTCCCCAACCTTTTTGGCACCAGGGACCGGTTTCAAGGAAGATAATTTTTCCATGGATGGTGGGGGGGAGGGGTGGTTTCAGGATGATTCAAGTGCATTACCTTTATTGTGCACTTTATTTCTATTATTACATTGAAATATATAATGAAATAATTATACAACCCATCATAATGCAGAATCAGTGGGAGCCCTGAGCTTGTTTTCACTTGTCAGTCACTGATAGGGTTTTGATATGAGTCTGCAAGCAATTGACTTATTATGGTGTCTGTGCAGTGAAACCTCTCTGCTAATGATGATCTGTATTTGCAGCCGTTCCCCAGCGCTGGCATCACCACCTCAGCTCCTCCTCAGATCATCAGGCATTAGATTCCCATAAGGAGTGCGCAATCTAGATCTCTCGAATGCGTATTTCAGAGTACGGTGCACGCTCCTATGAGAATCTAACGACCCTGCTGATCTGACAGGAGGTGGAGCTCAGGCGGTAATGCGAGTGATGGGGAGCAGCTGTAAGTACAGATGAAGCTTCGCTTGCTTGCCCGCCACTCACCTCCTGCTGTGTGGCCCTGTTCCTAACAGGCCATGACCCATACCGGTCCACGGTCCAGGGCTTGGGGACCCCTGCTCTACAGGGAATTCCAGAGAACTAATGCCTGTTGATGACTGGGGAACCAGCCAAGCACGCTGTGTGCAAGGCACTGTGCCTCGTCACCAAGTACAACAGCTACAAGAGAGCATTTTTTAGGACACCAACATCTGAAACCAGAGGCTCTTTTCAGAGCCACTCATACTTTCAGCTTATGAGTGATAGTCTATTGAGATTTCATTTGTTATGGATTTGGGACTCTTCTTTGATTTAAAAAAAATGTGTTTTTTTTTTTCAATAAGCTTTCTAACTTGGAACAATTTTAGATTTACATAAAAGTTGTAAAGGTAGTTCCCATATACCTCACCATTTCCTCTGTTGTCAACATTTATGCATTTGTCACAACCTAGGAAATAACACTGGTACTTTACTGTGAATTAAACTCTAAACTTTGGGTTTCATTAGATTTTACCTAATGCTCTTTGTTCCAGGATCCAATCCAAAACACAGTTGACTCTTGAACAACTCGGGGTTTGAACTGTGCGCGTATACTTATACGCAGATACTTTTCAATAGTAAATACTACAGTGCTATACAGTCTGTGGTTGAATATGTGGATGTGGAAGAACCTTGAATATGGAATCCGACTATAAGGTATATGCTGATTAAACCCGTGTCATGTTGTACATGACATTTACTTGTAATGTCTCCTTAACTGCTCTGGGCTGACAGTTTCTCAGAATTTCCTTGTTTTCGATGAACTTGATAATTTTGAGGACTCATATTCTTTAGAATGTTCCTAACTTGTATTTGTCTGACGTTTTTCTCATGTTTAGACTGAGATTATGTGTTGCTGGGAGGAAGACCAGAGAAGTGAATTGCCCTTCTCAACACATCATATTAATGGCACATGCAAACCACGTGGTTTATCACTGATGATCTTAACACTGATCATTTGCGGTAGTGTTTGCCAGTTTTCTCTACTGTAAAGTCACTCCTGTTTTCCCCTGCCTTTCCATACTCCACTTTGTTAAGTCTGGGGAGTTAAGTTCCAGCTGCTTGATGGGGGAACATCTATATAAATGATTTGAAATTCTTCTGTTTAGGAGATTTTTCACATATCCCTCATTTAGTCAATCACTTACATCAGCATTCTCAGATTTTAAATTTTCACATTTTAGTTTTTAATGCCATGTTCTAAACATAATCTAATTTTGTTCAATATATCTGTACAATTTCCTTTCAGTTTTCAAAATTTTCCCGTCCTTCTGTGTCCTTCTTAATCACATGCCTTATCTATGTACATTAATTCAAAACATGGTTGGCTTCTTCGTAACTTGATTGCTCCTCAACATATTATGTAGTTTACTTTCATCTTTTAATTTCTTACAGAACTCTATACTTCGTACCTGCTTCTGTATGTCTTATGTGTTTAGCTCTCACGTGTCTAACAATGACTTTAAAAGAATAACCAGCGACACTTTCTCCTTGAGATAAGGCAAACTGCTGAATTTTCTGTAACTTTATGACAGCCTACCTGTTCATTTGCTTTCCAATTTTTCTTGGTGTTTATAATACAGATCAAATGAAACCATTTGAAAGACCTGACAAAAACTCCCTAATAATTCCAATTATGGTATACCATGTCACATTCCTACCTCTAGTGAGACACTAGTATCCCTCCCCCACATGTGCCATTTAGGTTTTTGATGGACATTACATGTTAAGAAACATTTTCTAAGCACGTGTTAAACCACAGGCATCGCGAATACTTATCAAAATGAGCCTTAAAAAGGGTATTGGAATGCTGAAGCTTTGCTCTTTTTCTCTCACCCGATAGGCATCTTGAAGGGCCATGAACTTGACCTTCAGTAATAAAAAAAGCTGCAAAGAACCTCACGTGCTAGAATCAACATGATAAAGTTACGGCTAACAGATCTTTTCGGCGGCCTACTCTTGGAATACGTCACAATCACAGACCCACACAGCCCAGGCACAGCCCTCAATGATAATTTAAGTGGCTCTGAAAAGAGCCTTTGGTATCTTCCTTCACCAGACATTTAGATTGCTCAACGGTAACCTCCACTTGGATTACTCGCCCTACACTTTGTGATGGTGGCTCTCGGTCTTCCTGGGCAGCAGCACGGCGTAGATGTTCGTCAAGACGCCACCCTGAGTGAGTCACACCACCCAGCAAATTGTTGAGTTCCTCATCATTACGGACTGCTAGCTGCAAGTGGCACGGGATAATGCGCGTCTTCTTGTTGTCACGGCACACATTGCCCGCCAACTCCAAGATCTGAGCCGTTATGGACTCCAACACCGCTGCCAAATACACAGGCAAACCAGCCGCAAGGCGCTCGGCATAATTACCCTTGCGGAGCAGACGACAGATCCGACCAACCGGAAACTACAAGCCTGCTCTGGATGAGCGAGATTTACCTTTACCGTGGGCTTTACCACCTTGTTTACCACGCCCACACACACCTCTAACGAGAAACCGCGACGCCAATACGATGATCTGTAACACCTACGACTGGGCATATTTATAGTCTGACGGTAGGGTGTGCTTTGCTTTCTGATTGGCTGATGGCCATCTATCCAATCAGAAATGCTCACGGTAATCACCTCATTTACATAACGAGAGTCCCAGATATCCAATCAGATACTGGCCCCTCCACACGTCACTTGAGCGCTGCCCCTATAAATACCACCCTTTCCGCCCAGGATCCGTCTTCGTTTTCTTGGCGTTGGTGGGAGCAGTTATAACTGTTAACGGTGTAGCGCTTAACACTAGCTATGCCAGAACAGGCTTCAAGAAGTATTGCTGTTTCTAAGAAAGGATTTAAGAAAGCCATAACAAAGACTCAAAAGAAAGAAGAAAGAAAGCACAAGAGATGTAGGAAAGAGAGTTATTCGATTTATATCTACAAAGTGTTGAAGCAAGTACACCCGGACACCGGTATCTCATCGAAAGCCATGAGTATCATGAATTCCTTCGTCGCTGATGTTTTCGAGCGTATTGCAAATGAGGCTTCCCGCTTGGCTCACTACAATAAGCGATCGACTATTACGTCCAGGGAGATTCAGACGGCCGTGCGCCTGTTGCTGCCAGGAGAGCTGGCTAAGCACGCTGTGTCTGAGGGCACGAAGGCTGTAGCGAAGTACACTACCTCCCTGTAAAGTTGCAAAGTGTAAGCAGGCTCCAGTTACAATCCAAAGGCTCTTTTCAGAGCCAGTCACGTTTCTGAAAGAGCTGTGGACTCAACGTAAGTAGGATGCTTACGTTAATAAACTTTTACTACTCAGCTGCTGTTTGTAATTTAGTGACTGACTTTCTGCTGTATAGAAGCCCCCATGAGGCTCCAACAGTCTTCAGAAATCAACTGCAGCAAAACAAATTTTTCAGAATGCTTTTTTACAGGAAAGTTTATGGTTAATACACGTAGAAAGTGTTCTTAGAGTGAAGGAGCTGTAAAGTATAAAAGACGCATTTGTCTCTATAAATGAAAATTCTATAAAAGGCCTGAAAGTGTGGAGAGATTTTGTAAAGTACATTATCCTGTTTTTTTTCCTACTTCTGTATCTGAAAAGTTTGGATTCTGTAGGCCAGCGAAGTTGTTTGAAAGCTCGAGTGGTTTGAGGTCCTCCACTTGGGGTCTTTTTGCCCTGGTGACCTACGTTGTCCAGGGCATGTTGACCTGGGATGGCGGAATATTGCTCTCTGTCTCACCGGAAGCCAGCAATCTGGCTAACCACAATTGACTAGAAAACAGTAACTCAAACTCCTTTTTTGGTTTTTTCTATAAATAACGGTGTGATCATTTGTGGGTGTTTTGTATGATGAATCATTTAAATAGGTGTTGGTGTCCTGTATTACTGAACTACCTGGACTCCACTCAGCAGACAAGCATTAAACATCAGTGGTAACAATCATGGATCAGAGCCCAGGCTCCAAGGCCCTGCAGTCTCACTGCTCTTCTCCCGACCCTGGCATTACATCCTCATGCTGGTCACAGTTCCAAGTGTTCACACAGGTCAAAGTAGTGGTAGGAAGGCAGTCTTATCTCCCTGGGTTTCCAATTGAGAGCAAATGAGGAGGACTTCCTCTCAAGTCCCTTCTCTAGAATTGAGCCTAGTCCCAGATGCTGCTTGAGTCATTCATCTGAAGGGAAGTTGGGACAACGTGATTGATGTGGACCAGTTTACTTAATATGTGTGGCATATTTATTACGTTTAGCTCTAGGTATTTTGTTTTCATTTCCATAAATAGTGTATTTCCCAATTCATATCTTCCAGCATCTTGTTTTATATGAAAGTACTGATTTTTGTGCATTTTTATATCTTATTATATCTTACTGAATTGACTAATTTTTGCATTGGCTTTCTGATATAATTCTGTTGGGTTTTACATGTTTGCAATGATGTCTGAAAATAGTAAACATTTCACTGCTTCCTTTCAATTTAGTTAGTTCACTTCTAATTCCTTTCACCTGATTTCAGTGCCTCATACCTTCATATCAATGTTAAATAGGGTGGCTATTCTTGTTTTATCCTTCACTTTGCTGAAGATCTACACTATTCCTCGTTAGATATATCATACAATGACGAAGAATTCTATGTCTGCTTTATTGAGAATTGTTAAGAATGCATGTTGAAATTTATAAAATGCCTTTTGAGCATCTCTGAAGAATGAGCGTAGGCCTTCCCTCTTTATGTATATTATGATGAGTTATTTAAATAAACTTCTTAATAGTCACCTTTGCATTTTTTTATATAACCCCCTGCTTGGGCATCATATGTTACTCATTTAATGTTCTGTTGAACTCTGGTTGCCAATGGATCATTCAATTTATACTTCAATATTATAAATTAAATTGATCTCTTTTCCCTTTTTTGTGTGTGCAGTGATGTTCAGGTTCTGGTACAAATTTTTATTCAATTCATAAAAATAATATGGAGGATAGATGTCCTTTTAATACTCTGGAAGTGTTTGAACAGCATTGGAATTCCCTTTTCTTTAAAACTTTGGTAAACTTCCTTTTTAAAACAATTTGTACTTGGTGCCCTTTTTCAGATGACAGTTCTTTGACAATTATCTTTATTTTTCTTTAATGAATTTTTTCTATTTAGAGTTGCTAATAATTTGTAATAAGTTTTGGTAAATTAGATTTTTCAATACAATTTTTTAAAGATATTCTCTTAGAGATCAGCAAATTGGTCTCTAATGATTTTAACCTCCGCTGTCTTTGTAACTACAGCTCCTTTATTATTCTAAATTTTGTACTTGTGTCTTCTGATTTTTCACAAACCACAATGGTTATTGGTTAATCTTTTATTTTTTAAGTGCGTTTATTTATTTGCTATTTCTTTACTCTTGCATTTAGTTTTACTGTTTTCTTTTTCCTAATTATTTTTTCCCATTTTTCATTATTTAGCCTTTCTGCTTCCACTAGTTCACTTTATTTTTGTTTTTCCTAGCTTCTTTAGTGGGATGCTAACTTTATAGCGACAGTCTTTACATTGCACAGTTTTGATATAAATGAATTTCAGTTACCACAGTTTAGTTAAATAACACCACTTGCCCAAAAACACAGTTCAAAGGTCATTGCATGGTGAGTCATTGCATAAACTACAAAATTCACTGCTTCCTCTTTTAGTTCACAAGTCACTGCACAAATAACACATACACACTGTGATCAGTGACCTAATCGTGTCACTTATTTTAAAATTCATTGGCCAAAATTTGTTGGCATGGTTACTGCACATGTTATTCAGTTTATTCAAAAAGAGAAAGCATGTAGTTTAGTTGCCTCCTTGTCTTCCAGTGATAAACTCACATGAAAAAAATCAATAGTCAAGAGGGATTTGGCCAAGAAGATGAAAGTACAGCAAGACAAGAAAAAGTAATAACCCTGGAAGCAGAATTTGAATCGAAGGTAAATAGAGTTATTGAAGTAACAGTTGACTGGGGAAATGTTGACACTGTTGCCATGAAGAGACTAGCTATGCAAACCAGAGGAACTTAGTAAAGGCCAACTGATATAAATGTAGAAAATGGTTGTGATGAAAAGGAAGAAGTTCCAAAGAAAGTGACACTGGCAAAATACTTCATATTAAACGAATTCTCAGAGATATTTCATGGCATTAAAAATGCAAAGGATGAAATATTGGAAGCTAATCCAAACTTAGAAAGAAACATGACAATTCCCCAAAGCATAGGAAGGACACTCACTCTGTATCATAAGTTGCATGATAAGAAAAAAAATCAAGCACCATTCAACTATTTTTGGTAAGCTTTTAAAAAAGAAATGACACTAATTCTCACTGTTTTAATATTTAAAATTACAATGTCCTTAATATTAGTTTTTCACTTCCCTTTATATTTATGATAGATGGTGAGTTTTTAACGTTTTGATAAAAAATTTTAAAGATCATGGAACAATCATGACTTTTCCCATTGATTATTAAGACTGCTTTGCATAGTCACTTTTAAGATTTCACACTACCTGAAGGACTGCCTGCATTTACACTTCCTAATTTATTAATGTAAGCAGCATTTAAATCTATCATTTTTCCTTTGGGCCATGCTTCACTTTATTCCCACAAGTTCTGTATATATTCTGAATTTTCATTAATGTGAGAGAGGTGCTAGGAAAAGCAGATTCCTTCACTTCCTATTAGGAACCTGGAAATCACTGTTATCGACCAGCAAAGCAGCTGGTCAAATTCTCCTTCCATCAGAGATGCAGACCAAATGCAGACCAAGGACCCAGCTTTACGGAACTTGGAGGGACAAACACAGGAAGTTGGGATGGGTTTGCAACCTTCAAAGACTTTAATAATGTCAAAGAAATAAGAGTAAAGCTTTAGTCCAAGACAATTCATGAAAGCAGTGAAAACGCAGGCTTTTTTGTTTTTAGGTTAAAGTGCTTAAGAAAGGTGCTGTTTGTCCACCCACATCTCAATCCCTGAGTCATAAAGGACTGGCAAGACAGAATTTTCTGAGAAAAGGGCCACAGCAAAGTTAGGACTCTGCTTTAAATATGATAAGGTTTGGTTTGGGAACTGGGGAAAGTAGATCCTTTAGGTGCTACCCTCCCTAAGCTACATCTGGCTGTTAACTTCACCCTAAAATCACTGCAATGGTTACACCTTGAGATTTACCATGGAAGCAGGGGAGATATTTGCTGTCTTTCCCTGGTTCTAGGCTGTGGTTTTGTTGTGCCACAGAACAGAGAACATAATGGATGCCAGTAAGATGAGGGCTGGAAAAAGGGCAGAGCAACTAGGCTTGTTTAGAAACCCAGATGCTGTAATTACCCAAAAGCCACCACAGTGCCTCTGAATTCAGAAAAGAAGAGGGCTTGTGTAGCCCTCAAAAAAGAGACTTTCTATTCTCATCTCAGATGGGTCCCTGAGGTCTACAGGGCAAGGGAAACCCTCCCAAGGAGCAGGGCCAGAGGAAGCTAGATCACACCAAGCCCTTACTGCATCGTTCCGGCAGGTGGACATTGCTAGCTCTTCAGTGCAGGGCTGGTCATAGACAAGTGGCTGCATTTTGTTATTTTTCCTTATTTTGTTTTCCGAAAAGGTTTTAAAAAATTGTTTCCCTTTTCTTCACTCTTCAAACATTCACTGAGAGAGAGAGAGAGAGAGAAAGAGAGTGTGTGTGTTTGTGTGTGTAAGAGAGGAGGTCCTTACTCTCACTGTTCCCTTTCTAGTTTAGTGAGGCAGATATAAACACACAAGGTCATTTTAGCTGATTATGAATGAGAGAGATAATAAGGTGCCTAAGGAAAGCTTTGTATTGTCTGTAATTTACTCTAAAATACTTCTATCCAGATAGTGTGATGTAAATTTTGTGTGAGTCAATGTTAAGGTAAACCTTAGGATCTGTGAAATGTAGTAGGTTGAGTGTCCTGAAAAAGGACATGTCCAAGTCTTAACCCCTGGCACCTATGAATGTGACCCTTGTTTGGAAATAGGGTGTAGTTAAGAATCTTGAAATGAGATCATCCTGGATTTAGGGTATACTTATAAGAGAAGGGAGAGGGGCATCAGAGATGCAAAGTAGAGGACCATATGAAAACTGAGGCAGGCAGAGGTTGGAGTGATGCAGCTGCAAGCCAAGGAACACCGAAGATTGCCAGCTGCCGCCAGAAGCCAGGTAAGGCATAGAATAGATTCTCCCTCAGCGTCTCCACAAGGAATCAACCCTACTGACACTGTGATTTTGGACTTCTTGGCCTCCAAAACAGTGCAAGAATATATTTCTGTTTTACGCCAACCAGTTTTTGGTAACTTGTTGCAGCAGCCCTAGGAAACTAATAAATGGACTTTTCTAATGAGGAATTCACTCTCCAGAAGAGGTTAGTCATCATTTGACCCACTATAAGTTCTTTTCACCCCCTACAAGTTCTTTTCACCCACTACAAGTTCTTTAGCTCTTCATCTCCAATCACACTAGAGGGCTGATGGTTAGCAGAAGTAATGTGAGAAATTGTTTCAGTGATAAAAACAATAATAATCAAGATGTGTGTTTCCAGCAGACACACATGCATGAATTGAGTGGGATACCCTAGTAACCCCAGTATCCTGTGGCTGTAGAACTGGCATCCTTGATGAAGCAATCAGTCTAACAGCCAAGGAAGATTCAGTTATCTGCTCCCAACTGGATTATTAGTGGAATTCTGCCATCTGATTTTTATATCATCTGTCTCTAGTCTACTTTATATGTAAGGTATTTGCTGGAATCCTTAAACAGGGGTTCTTAGCTTTTATTGTATTATGGATTTCTTTGAAAGTCTAGTTGATCCTATATACATCTTCCTAAAATAAATTTCTAAGTACATAAAGTAAAATATGAATTTTAATAATAAAACAATGCCAGGTTGGAACAGGTTTAAAAATATTGTTTGATACAGTAATATTTGTGCTTCTTTGTGCTTCAAATAGCAAGATCAAAATTATAATATTCTGAGGTTGGGATGAGAATAAACAATATTTTGATATATCTGGTTAAATGCTAGGACTATAACTATGGTTTTCATTGGCAATAAAGTCACAGGTATAGCTAATGTGACTGGTCTATTCGCTATATTCAAAACTGAAAGAAATACTAACTTTCAGTTAATGGTTAGTGACTATTTTTCTTATCTAAGATTACTTTGTCAGTTGTATGGAGAGTGGATTTTAGAAAGAAAACATTAGGAGCAGTGAGTCTAGTTAGAGACAGTAACCCAGGCGAGAGACGATGGGGGCTTGGACAAAAATGTTGGCAGTGGAGATGACAAAAGAAGTCAGATAATAATAAAATATTTAGGAAATAAAATCTCCATATGTTGTCAAAAGATTGAAATGGAGGTTGAACAGAGGCACTATCAAGGAAAAAATACATTTCTGGCTTGGAAAACCATGTGATTGGGGTGGCCCCATGGATATAGGGAACATTGGAATTTGAAAACAGGTCTGTCAGGATACACTGGAAACCCTTGTGGAGAGAAATTTTTAGAGATGGATGAGCACCATCAGGGTGGTAATATTAAGTAAGCAGTTACTGGTCTGCAGTTCATGGAGAGCCCTGGACTGCAGATATAGTTCGTGAATCATCTGCTGTAGGTATTTACAGCAAGGGTATGACTTAGGTTGCCTAGAGAAAGAGTTTAGTGCTACAGTGTCCAATATGGTGGCCACTAGCCAGATGTGGTTACTGAGCACTTGAAATGTTGCATGAGATATGCTGTAAGTATAAAATACACGTTGAACTTCAAAGTCCTAATTTTTAAAAATGTAAATCATTATAATTTAACCCTTATTACACATTGACATTTTAGATAAACTGGACTAAACAAAATATTTGATTAAAATTCATTTCACTTTTTTTTTATGCTATGTGGGTACTGGAACGTTTAACGTGACATATATGATCAGTATTTGTGGCTTGCATTATATTTCTACCAGACATTTGTGAAATTAAAAACTTCTGCTAGGATACTGTAAAAATAGACCACAGACCAGGAGAAAATATTTTCAAATCATTTATGTGAAACGGGACTTGTGTCCAAGAAAATAGAAAAAAGAATGCTTGTAACTAAACAATAAGAAAATAACCCAATTAAAGAATAGGCAAAAGAACTGGATAGACACTTCACCAAAAAAATTTACAGATGGGGGTTTCCCTGGTGGCGCAGTGGTTGGGAGTCCGCCTGCTGATGCGGGGGACACGGGTTCGTGCCCCGGTCCGGGAAGATCCCACATGCCGCGGAGCGGCTGAGCCCGTGAGCCATGGCCGCTGGGCCTGCGCGTCCGGAGCCTGTGCTCCGCAACGGGAGAGGCCGCAAAAGTGAGAGGCCTGCGTACCGAAAAAAAAAAAAAAAAAAAAATTTACAGATGGTAAATTAGCATACCAAAAGATCCTCAATATCATTTATTAGGAAAAATGCAAATTAAAACGATGAGATATTAAACATCGATTAGAATGGATAACATCCAAAATATTGTACATTACCAAATGCTGAGGAGGATATGGAGCAACGGGAACACTCATTCATTGTTGGTAGGAATGCAGAATGGCACAGCCGCTTTCGAAGACAGTCTGACAGTTTCTTATAAAGCTAAACATACTGTTGAGCCTACCATCCAGCAGCTGTGCTCCTGGTAATACTTACCCAACTGATTTGAAAACTTATGTCCACACAAAAACTTGCATGTGAATAGTTATATAACAACTACAGCTAAAAAGTGGAAGCAACTAAGATCCCTTCATTAGATGAATGGATAGACAAACTGTGGTTTATGCATACAATGGAATACTAGTCAACCATTAAAAGGAACAAGCTCTTAATTCACATAACAAAATGGGTGAATCTAAACACATACTGCTAAGGCAAAAGCCAGCATGGAAAAACTGCTTGCTTTTCAACTCAAGAGTTGACAAGGATTTGGGAGCTATACAGACATCTGCTGTTTCACAAGATCTTATGGGGGCAGCTGGGACCCCTGCTTGGAGATGATGCCTCCCCTCCCAGACAATGTGGCACAGATGCCCCATCTGTTAACTCCTTGGATGATTCCCAGTTAAGATATTCAGAGGTTCGTGTAGGGTCTGTTTCTGTGCACAAATGTAGGGCACTTTTTTTTTTTCCTGTGGAGTTTTAGTACACATATTCTACCAAATGATACTAAAGTATTTTTTAACTGTAAGGTAGACACACATGAGCACGAAATCTTGTTATTAAAAGGGAAGAATGAAAAATATAAATTAACGAATTGAGTCCAGCTAAACTACTGGTTTGTGGGAAGTAGTAATTTGATCTTTTTTAATGTTAATTTCAGTGTCATTTGTCACTTTTTAATGCTTGTCTGCTAAGAGTCCAGACGATCGTGACAGAGTAGATCTTCCACCCAAAGTCCCTTGACTTGATAAACACCCTATGACCCAATTTGGAACATGTTAGTATTGGAGTCCAGTAATATAGGACACAAACACCAATTTAATGATCCTCTCATAAAACAAAATGCAAGTGATCCTATTATAACTTGGAAGAAAAGTAACGCCCCCCAAAAATTCAGTCAGTGTTACTTGTTTGCCAGTCGGTTGTGGTTAGCCAGATTGTGTGACTCCAATATGGATTACTTGATATGGCAAGACCTCCACACCCCAATATCAAGCTGTTTTTAACAAACAGCCTAGTTTAGACACCCCAATAATGTACAGGTGATATCACCAGACCAAGGAACTATTGGGCTCGAAATCTCAGCAGATGTAGGGCACCTAACCTGATCTATAGAAAGGATTTTCACACACTACAGAAAATGTAGACCGGAAGCAAAACAGCCTTAACACTCCCATGCTGAACTTGCCTATGTTCTTTGTCTTTCCACAGCTTCAGTTCCCTTTCAGTCTCTCGATAGAAAGTACTTAAAACAGGACATAACCCAGAGAAGAGCAAGCCACGTTTCTCATGGCACTCGACCCACCCTCTCTTAAGACTGACTTAAAGGAGCTCTGTTCAAGAGAGCTCTATTCTTTGATATGCTTAAGAGATCCGGGATTTCACCTGAAATCATTCTGGTTAATAGTCACGTGAGACGGACGAGTTATCTACGTATTTCTTAACCACACTAAAGGCAGCAAAGTGAATCTGACAGTTACTAGCATAACAGCTATCGCTCACTCTTAAGAGTAAGCCTGCCCACACACACCGAGCAGCCAAGTAAAAAGCCTACAACTCTCTAGAAAGTTAAGTGGCTCTTAAAAGAGCCTTTGGGTTACAAAAGTCTGGATTTCTTTACTTGGAACTACTGTATTTACTGACAGCCTTGGTGCCCTCGGACACTGCGTGCTTAGCCAACTCCCCAGGAAGCAGCAAGCGCACTGCTGTCTGGATCTCCCTGGATGTGACGGTCGAACACTTGTTGTAACGCACCAGGCGGGACGCCTCCGCTGCAATGCGCTCAAACATATCAGTAACAAGTGAATTCATAATACTCATAGCCTTCGAAGAAATACCAGTATCCGGATGAACTTGTTTCAGTACTTTATAGATATAAACTGAATAGCTCTCTTTGCGATATCTCTTGCGCTTTTTCTCCTCCTTTTTCTGAGTTTTAGTCACGGCTTTCTTATAGCCTTTCATGGAACTAGCACTGCTCTTAGAACCCTGCTCCGGCATCGTTAACCTACAACTCTAAGACAGAAAACCAGTGGCAGTTGCTCTGTTGAAGCGTGATATTTATATGCGCGGAGCTCAGATGACGTATTGGGCAGCTCATATCTGATTGGATAATGGATAGTGACGTGTATGTAAATGAGGTGATTCCAGTATGGTTCTCTGATTGGATATAAGGGTATCAGCCAATCAAATAGTAAATCACAACCCACCGTGAGACTATAAATAGACCCCGTACCTGCCCTAACGGTATTTGTTTCCATTATAACAGATTAGTATTCTTATAGTAATGTCTGGACGTGGCAAGCAGGGTGGCAAGCACGCAGTAAGGCCAAATCTCGTTCGTACAGAGCCGGCCTGCAGTTCCCTGTGGGCCGAGTCCACCACCTTCTCCGCAAGGGCAATTACGTCGAGCGGATTGGGGCCGGCACACTGGTTTACCTGGCAGCGGTGCTGGAGTACAGGACGGCCGAGGTCCTGGAGCTGGCGGGCAATGCGACCCATGACAACGAGGAGATGCGCGTCATCCCGCGTCACCTGCAATTGGCCATCCGTAATGACGAAGAGCTCAACAAGCTGCTGGGCGGTGTGACCATCGCTCACGGTGGTGTCCTACCCAGCATCCAGGCAGTGCTGCTGCCCAGAAAGACCGAGAGCCACCGCCATAAGGTTCAGTGCAAGTAACACTTCACAAGTTGCAAAGCCAAGTGAGTAACCTGAATGTCTAAAGGAGAAAAGCCCCAAACTGAAACCAAAGCCACTCACAATTACTGAGAAACAGCTTAGGTTTAGAAAGAGACTACAGACCAGTGATTGGCACCAAAAAAGAACTCACCACAACTAACGCTAACAGAACTCTGGACTCTGGAAATTAGCTCCGGTGACACCCCTGAAACAGTTTAACTTCATAAAAATTTTTACAACAAAACTCGTGAACCTGGGTGTAAATTTTTTACATTTCAGAGTAGATAGAGCAAACATCCTAGCGGGCTCCTGGCGGGATGGGGGTGGGGTTGGAGGAGATGCCATTCTCCTTGGGGAAAGAAGCAAATTTAGGATTGTTCTGACAATGAACACAATTCCCAAGAAAGAATTAAGACGCATGATCTTTAGGGAGGATAAAGTTAGACTAAATGAGTGGATTAAAAGCAAAGAAAGACTTGTGAAGTTGCAGCTTTTGGCTTAACTCATGTTTGGAGAGCATGTCAACAGAATGTCAGCCAAGCAGCTAGCAAGTCAGTATGCATCACGGCTTCTTGTTCTCTCAAGTGCTTTCTAGCAAGGGATTTCCAAGAGTTCTAGGATGGTTCTATATCCTGAAATCGCTAAGCATGACATGTTAAGCCAAAAGATAAAAGACATACTTGACAGCTAATTACATGAAAAACAGCAAACAGGTTGATAGTGTGTAGGATAAATCCCAAACAAGACATACCATTTTAATGGTAAAATACTATCAATATTAGAGTGGGTAAGTAATGCGACAAGGCAGCTTTCTACCACCAATTATTCAGGAATAGTAGGCACTGAATTCAACAGATTTAACCACTGAAAATGAAGCAAAATATTTTGTTGATCTTTTAGCACTGCCTATGAGTAAACACCCACAGAGACAACTGACAAATAAGAAAGCAGCCAAATACAAAATTTTTGTACGAAAATGAAAGCATCAAAAATTTCCAAACAAAACAAAAATCTACATGTTTATAATTTAAAAATTCCTTAAACAGTTGCCAAGTTAAAATTTGAACACTACTCTTGTCTATAAACGTATACCCAAACCTATATATAGAATCGAAGTGTTCTAAAATTACGAAAACATAGTTTAAAAAAAAATTTAAAAATACTGATGAAATGTAAGAGTTTCTGGAAAAATATAAATTGCTTAAATTGAACCTAGAAAGCAGTGAGGACTAAGATAAATGGGAAAAAAAGTCGATGAGCTACCATCCTCTTAGATATTTAAGGAAAAGAGAAATCTATGGCTAAGGAAGTGGCTCCAGATTATGAAAAAATATGTATTTTTGAAGAAATATAAAATTTAATGAAAAAAGCATGCTACTAAGTGCAGTGCAATATGTTTTAAATAACCCATAAATCTCCATTAAATGTGAACCAACTTTGGCAGCCCATTAAAAAATTACCAAACAATGACAAATGGGGATCTAAGAATGTGAGGTTGTTTCAATGTTGAGTGAAAGCAAACAATTCACTTTATAAAGCCAAAGGGAAAGATAGTCTTGTTAAACTCAGAAGATGCTTAACATTTGCTAGTATGTTTAGTTGGATAGTTTTTGTTTCTTAGTGCAATAATAGTAGTTACTGTTAGCAGATTTTTTATCTTTTTTTTTTTTTTTTTGCGGTACACGGGCCTCTCACTGTTGTGGCCTCTCCCGTTGCGGAGCACAGGCTCCGGATGCGCAGGCTCAGCGGCCATGGCTCACGGGCCCAGCCGCTCCGCGGCATGTGGGATCCTCCCGGACCGAGGCACGAACCCGTGTCCACTGTATGGGCAGGCGGACCCTCAACCACTGCGCCACCAGGGAAGCCCTTTATCATATTTTAATACTATTCTGGACTATGTTAGACAAATAATTTAGAAATATTAAAAGGATTCTGCTGTAACAAAAGGGAGATAAAAGTAGGTGCAAGTAACACCTGCAGGGTAATGCTTCACAATTAACTGGGAAATAATCATATTGGAAATCAACAGTTCTCTTCAGAGCCATCTTTCAGAAAAGGAGCTGTGACAAAGTTTCAAAAATAATAACATTTCAATGAGTCATTTATATTCAATGTAATATTAATTATGGCTACTTCAAAATGCTGGTGTTGAAAATAGAACAGTCTTTAACACCATACACAAAAATAAACTCAAAATGGATTAAAGGCCTTAAATGTAGGACCGGATACTAAAAAACTTAGAGGAAAACATAGGCAGAACACTGTTTGACATAAATCGCAGCAGTATCTTTTTTGATCCATCTCCTAGAGTAATGGAAATAAAAACATAAATAAATGGGACCCAATTAAACTCAAAAGCTTTTGCACAGCAAAGGAAACCATAAACAAAACGAAGAAACAACCCACAGAATGGGAGAAAATATTTGCAAACAATACGACCGACAAGGGATTAATCTCCATAATTTACAAACAGCTCACGCTGCTCAATATCAAAAAACCAAACAACACAAGCAAAAAATGGGCAGAAGACCTAAATAGACATTTCTCCAAAGAAGACATACAGATGGCCAAGAGGTACATGAAAATATGCTCAACATCGCTAATTACTAGAGAAATACAAATCAAAACTACAATGAGATATCACCTTACATCAGTCAGAATGGCCATCATCAGAAAGTCTAGAAATAATCAGTGCTGGAGAGGGTGTGGAGAAAAGGTTGGTTTACATTCCCACCAACAGTACATTCTACACTGTTGGTGAGAATGTAAATTGATACAACCACTAAGGAGAACAGTATGGAGGTCCCTTAAAAAACTAAAAATAGAGCTAGCGTATGATCCAGCAATCCCAGTCCTGGGCATATATCTGGAGGAAACCATAATTCAAAAAGATACATGCACCCCAGTGTTCACTGAAGCACTATTTACAATAGCCCAGACATGGAAGCAACCTAAATGTCCATCAACAGATGAATGGATGAAGATGTGGTACATATATACAATGGAATATTAGCCATTAAAAAGATGAAATCATGCCATATGCAGCAACATGGATGGACCTGGAGATTATCATACTAAGTGCAGTAAGTAGGACAGAGAAAGACGAACATCATATGATATCTCTTACATGTGAAATCCAGAAGAAAATGATATAAATGAACTTATTTACAAAACAGAAACAGACTCAGAATTAGAGAATGAAGTTATGGTTACGGGGGACAGGGGAGAGGGGGGAGAGTAGGGGAGAGGGATAGATTGGGAGTTGGAGACTGACATATACACACTGCTATATTTAAAATAGGTAACCAGCAAGGACCAACTGTATGTCACAGGGAACTCTGCTCAATATTCTGTATTAACCTAAATGGGAAAAGAACTTGAAAAAGAATAGATACACGTATAACTCAATCACTATGCTGTACACCGAAAACTAACATAACATTTGTTAATCAACTACACTTCAGAATAGAATAAAAATTAAAAAAGAATTTTTTTAAATGCTGGTGTTAATCTTTTATCCTCAGTTCATGCAAACTGTTATACGAGAAGCCATTTTAATAAGTAAAATAAAATCGTGCTTTTTGGTGATTGATAGCAGTTTTTTATTTATAATTTCAGAAAGCCATACCAAACACTTAGTAAAAGAATTGTAATATTCCACTGGAATCAGACTATGGAAAAATTGGGGAGAAGAAGGGGGGTTAAAGACATACGAAATCAGGAGAAACAAGGATAAATGAGGCTTGATGCTGAAGCCCAGAAGGGGAAATAAGTACGTCTGATTACTATCTAAATGGGTAAATGAGGAGCCCAGGGGTTAAGTGAGCAATTATGCTCTAATGTAGTCTATTACGTAAGACGGGGGAAACTGCCTTGCTGCTGTGAGTAATGAGTTACACAAGCAGCAGCACAGACGGAATTCAAATACACAGATTTATATTCAATGCAGTACACTGAGTTTTTCTTTTTTTTTCCTACAACACATTAAGAAATCCGTTTTACTATATGAGCAAAATCACACTCAGAAATACACATGCATACAAATAAAAGTTTTCATAAACAATATGCCACTGTGGAAGGATTCTGAGATTACTGTTCTTAATTATTCCGTTTTGTTCAACTGTTCTCTTGAGTATCCTCCTTCACAAATGGTTCATGATTTGCTGTTTGGAATGCTGAAATGAGAGGAACGGCTGATCCAAGCAGCTCATGAGGCACACAGGTTTAGCCAAGAAAGAAACTGCACTCTCTGGGCCAAAATATTCATTCAAAGAGTGGGAATGCCACCCAATCTTTCCTGGGATTCTCAGATCTGGAAA